ACCCGGAAACAGTATTACATATGTCACCAACACGTCACCACTTAACAAGCGAATTGATTAAGTCATTCAAACAACTTTAGCCTTTCTACTTAGTGGGTGGTCTCGTGTGTCCACTATGTTTATAGTTTGTTTACACTTTTTAGCCAAGTTTGTCGTTCTAATTAAATTTACATCCAACGTGTCAATCAATCTGCCCAGTTGGTGGAATGAACTCCCTAACTGCATCAGAACGGCAGAGTCACTCTCTGTTTTCAAGAAACGACTAAAAACTCAACTATTTAGTCTCCACTTCACTTCCTAATCTGCAATTGCCTCTCTGGATATACCACTAACTGTATTTAAAAAAAAAAAAAAATACTAATACTTTCCTTCTTAGACTTTACAGACCTGAAACTTGCTTATAGCACTTAATCATTGTTGCTGTTATAGTTGTGTAAATTGCTTCCTTGTCCTCATTTGTAAGTCGCTTTGGATAAAAGCGTTTGCTAAATGACTAAATGTAAATGTACGTGTAATGTATTGTGGGCAACATTAGCGAGTATGCATGCTTCTACCCTTCAAATTTTTACTGGAAATAGTAATCCATCTGGGAACCTTTAGCATACTGTTTTTTTTATTTTATGTTACTATGGTTTGGGACAAATTAAATCTATTTTCGAATACTATTTAGAATGGATAGTATGTGAATTGGGACGCAGCATATGACGGCAACACAATGTTACTCCATGTCGATCACACTGTCCTCTTAAGAAGCAACACCGATTTACAATCAATTCCACATGCTGCTGTGCCAATGGAATAGATAACATGTGGAAATTATTGGAAATTAGCAGGACACCCCCAATAAAGAAGTGGTCTGCAGGTGATGACCACAAACCACTTCTCAGTTCCTATGCATTCTGGGTGATGTTTTGGTCTTTTTTGAATGCTTTTACTCCAGTGGTAACATGAGACGGAGTCTACAACTCACACAAGTGGCTCAGGTAGTGCAACTCATCCAGGATGCACATCAATGTGAGCTGTGGCTGGAAGGTTTGCTGTGTCTGTCAGCATAGTGTCCAGAGCATACCTGCTAACATTTGGGGGTCGGGAATGAGTGAGTAGAGGATGAGGGTGGAGAGGAGAGTGGTGGGGATGTCTAGGTGTCGGGGGTGAAGTGTCTAAAGAACACAGCTAAGGTAACTGTACTATGCATCAGTTTTTGGGGAAGCCATTGCGATCGAATACTATACCAAAGTTGGCAATCCAGGGGTGTTATAGACTGTATCAAAAAGCTGAGGACCGGGTGTGAAATTACAGGAGTTTTCTGAGAGAAAAAACAAAGCGGGGGGTGGCGGGAGATGGGTCTGATATACAGGAGACACCTGGGAAAAACAGGAGTGTTGGCAGGTATAGTCCAGAAATTGAAAGCGCTTCCAGAAGCCAGGCCAGTACATTAGGAGATATGGAGGAGGCCAAATGAAGGCAACAACCCAACAGCAGGATGGCAACCTATACCTTTGTGCAAGGAGCGACTGGAGGAACACTGCCAGAGCCATGCAAAATGACCCCCAGAAGGCCACAAATGTGCATGTGTCTGCTCATATGGTCAGAAACTGACTCCATGAAGGTGGTATAAGTGCCTGACATCCACAGGTGGGAGTTGTGCCTACAGCCCAACACTGTGCAGGACATTTAGCATTTGCCAGAGAACACCAAACTGGCACACCATGCTCTTCACATATGAAAGCAGGTTTACACTGTGCACATGTGACAAGAGTCTGGAGACGCCATGGAGAATGTCTTCCTGCAACATCCTCCAGCAAGACCTGTTTGGCAGTGGTTCAATAATGGTGTAGGGTGGCATTTCTTTGGAGGGAAGTACAGCCCCCCATGTGCTCGCCATAGGTAGTCTATCTGCCATTAGATACTAAGATAAGATCATCAGACCCCTTGTAAGAACATATGCTGATGCAGTTAGCCTTGGATTCCTCCTCAAGGCTGGTTTATACTTCAGCGTGGAGTGATCAGTGTGACCCATGGCAAAATCCTTGCGTGTAGCCGTACTTATGCATTCTGTTTGTTTTACTCTGCAATAACACTTCTGAAACTAGCTGGCAGTAGGTATTTATGTTCCTCTGTGTTGAGTTTCTTTGAGGGTATTTTGTTTTTTGCTGAATGCTACAAGAAGCTAAAACTTGCTCATTCAGAAGCGGGAACTGACAGATGTGCAACAATTTTGATCATAAGGTAAACAGAAACCAAAAGTTTCCATCTGGAGCTCCTTCTCGAGACTCCACACTTGTAAACACTCGCTCCATCAGGCTCGCAGCTCTCAGCAACGCCTACGCTTGTCACCATCACCAAGCCGACACAGAGCTTGAGCCACCCGTCATTGCGATGTGTAGTTACATTTTTTTATCTGCATGTCAGCTTCAGCCATGGCGAGGGCTATGCGACCGCACGTGTTGCTTGACGCAGAAGTATAAATCAGCCTTTATGCAAGACTATGCTAGAACTCGTGGCAGGAATGTGTCTTGTGATACAAAGGCATTGATGCTATGGACTGGCCCGCCCGTTCCCCAGACCAGCTGAGCACACCTGTGACATCATATGTTGCTCCATCCACCAACGCCACATTCCACCACAGATTGTCCAGGAATCGGTGGATGCTTTAGTCCAGGTCTGCACATCTTAATCAGAGTAGTCTTAGGGTGCTTTCACACCTGTGAATCGATTCAGTTGTTCCGAAACAGAGATTACAATTGTTACATTGTTGCTCTTTGCTCTTGGAGCGGTTCGCTTTCACACTGCAAAGTTTCTAATCTGACCAATAGAGCACGTGCGAGTAAACTCTCCTCACATTGGTCAGAGTGTCAGGGTTTATTTTGCAGCGTCCTGCTCAGCTGTCAGGAGAGGTGGTGGTTTGGTGGAGTTTGACAAGGTGCACGAGCGCGCGACGTGTCTGAGGAGAGATGCGGTGGGGAGGGGTGAGAAGGGTGCGCGACGATGCCTATTTGAGGACCGGGAGGGAGACGCGAGATTACCCGGAGATCATCACTCGTTTGCGGGCATCCAGAGACTCGTGAAACTTCCCGCCATACTCATAATTCCCTCTTCATATAGCCGTAAGCCTATTACATATCCATAAAACACTGTGATATAACCGCACTCGGATCGAACCGCTCCAGGGTTCGTTTCAATCGGGCCGAGACCACCTCACTCATGCGGTCTCGGAGCGATTACTTTGGAGCGGAACAGAGCGCGATTGCCCTGTTCACATATGCCAAACGAACCGCGCTAACTGGGCAAACGAAACACGTTCCGAAACAAAAGTGTAGGTGTGAAAGCACCCTTAATCGTATTAAAATCAGAGTTTGGGTGTCCATGTGCTCAATTACTTTGCTCAAATGTTTTTATTTTAAAAAATGGGTAACCCTTTACAATAAAGTTGCAAGTTATTATTAGTTAATCCATTTACTAAAATGAACAAGCAATGAAAAACTTTCATTACAGTGTTTATTTATCTTTGTTAATGGAAACAAAGTTGTTAATCGTTAGTTCATGTTAACATGTAAACAAACAGTAATTTGGATTTTAATAATACATTAAGGGCTGCAATGGGTAGCATGTTCGTCTTACAGCAAGAAGGTTGCTGGTTCGATCCTCGGCTGGGTCAGTTGGAGTTTCTGTATGGAGTTTGCATGTTCTCCTCATGTTTGCGTGGGTTTCCTCCGAGTGCTCCGGTTTCCCCCACAAGTCCAAAAACATGCGGTACAGGTAGGCTAAATTTTCCGTAGTGTTTGTGTGTAAATGTGTGTATGAATGTTTCCCAGTGATGGGTTGCTGCTGGAAGGGTATCCGCTGCATAAAACATATGCTGGATAGGTTGGCGGTTCATTCCGCTGTGATGACCCCAGATTACTAATGGGACTAAGCCGAAAATAAAACGAATTGATAATACATTAGTAAATATGAGGTGCCGTGTAGGATTTAAATCAAACTTTGCTTATCAACACATACATAAAACATGTGTATATACACCTATAAATTACTCGCATATACACCTATACTACTAGATGTTCAAAACAACATAGATGAAACTTGTGTATATACATATAAACTTGATGCATGAATACACCCACATAGACGCGCGCATACATATAAACTCGATTCTCACATAAACATCCACATTAACATGCGCACATACATATAAACTTGCTGCATGCAAACACACCTATACACACTCGCATATACATATAAACTTGCTGCATGCAAACACACCTATACACACTTGCATATACATATAAGCTTGCTGCATGCAAACACATCTATACACACTCGCATATACATATAAACTTGCTGCATGCAAACACACCTATACACACTCGCATATACCGGTACTTATGAACTTGATCTATGCATATGCACCCATAAACTCTTACATAAGAATGTACACTTGATGTCTGCCTAAACACCCAAATAACACTTCAAGAGTTCACACTTAGCTGATGATTAATTATAAAAGCTCATGAGATCCTCGAGCCCAGGGCTCCCTCCCGTTGCAAGGCGGGAGGGGAGTTTGAGCTCAGGTAGATCTCGAGAACTCCCCTGCTGTAGCAAGTGAATGCTCTTGAAATTAATTACTAACTAGAAGTGTGTCTATGTTGACAATTTGGATTGTTCAATTGACTTAATTGCATGTTTTTAGGCGGTGGGAGGAAACCGGGGAACCCGGGGGAAACCCACGTGAGCACGGGGAGAAGTGCAAACTCCACACAGAAATGTCTGCTAGTTTTGGTAAAGCCAGGAACCAGAGACATTCTTGCTGTGAGGCGACAGTGCTAGGCACTGGGCCACCGTGTCACCCGTCTAAGAAGGAGGAGTAGGGGAGGAAGGGGGGACGAAGATAGCAATGGAATAAACCCCAGGGTATTTATAGTAGTTTAGGAGTCATTATGATTGGATCATAATGAATTAGATAATGCGGGTCAGCTGCTAGCAATCATAAGCACGTGATCCTCTCAAAATTTATTTATACATAAACTTCACTTGTGCAAACATACAGAATAAAATTTTTGAATGCTGACCTATGATTAATAAATGCTCTACATGTATTGTACAACTAACATTAACTAATGAAAACGATTGCAAAAGTACTTTTAACAGCAAAATATGAAGCAAACTGGAAATCTATCAAGCATCCTGTGAGGAATTTAAACCCAACCATTTTTTCATGAATTTGCAATGGATCTTTACTCAAAAAGCCAACCAAATGTTACCTTCATGAACACAAAACCTCTCCAGCTTTGGTTTCTCCATCCTCCTCTACTCATCCAGGACTTCCTCTCATCTGATGACCTCCATCTCTGTGATTTTTTATGATACACTTGCCAAAACACTGAGGGTTAAAGTTGCATTAGACCAGCTTCAGCAGAATACTGAACAAATAAAGCATGGATATGAGAGATCTTCAAATGTTCCATCCAGCTGTACTTGAGTTAGTCCTCCAGCTGGGCCGATCTGGCGAACGTGAGAGAGAGATGCGAACACCTGAACGTATTAGTGGAGTTGTAAAGACACCTGGAAGGAAACAAAAATAACTGTTCTACTTCCACACAGGCATCTTTTTGATGTCTTTTCACCAAATCCACAGGTGGGAACTGTTGCATGTGACAAGTGTGGGATTTGAAATTCATCTTGGTGCTGCCATTCCTGTTGCTGGAGTGGATTTAAATATACGCGCACGGCCCAGAAAGACTGGCTGGCATGTAAAAGTTTGAGAATCTTGTCTCATTAGGTTGAGGGACAGTCGTAAAAATAAATCTGTATTCATTAATTATATTTATTATTATTATTATTACATTAATTTTACTATAGGCAGCATCGTTCATTAAGAGATGAACAGTTTAAGTCAGAATAAATTTATTTAACAGCATATTTTATTATGAACATTTATAAATAATAATAATATAAATATATCAATTGTTTTTATTTTATTAGTTTAGATTAATAATAATATAAATAAATATATGAATTCTATATTAGTGTTTAGATTAATCAAAATTATAATATAAACACTAAGGTAGAATTTAAATTAAACAAACTAAATAAATATAATTCATTGTAGAATTATTAATTTAATTTAAAGAAGTATCTTTTTACTTTAGTTTAACACTGGATTTAACCATAGACTGTAAAAAATTATATAGACGTGGCATCTGTGTCATCACCCATTGGTTTCTGAAGATCGCAAAAGAAGCTACAAGTGGGATTCGGCTGGGGCCAAGCTGAAGCGCTCACTCTGATCCTCCAGGCTCTGCAATAGTTGGGGAAATTCCAAATTGAGCCAAAACAAACGATGTACAATTGACTTAAGATTGGAAATGAACATTCAGGAAATGCGTCAGCAGAACCTGGGAATAAAAAACAAAACAAAATGAAGCTACATGTGGGCGTGGTCAACCATTGCCATTTTGTTTGAGTGCCATCACACCAACCAGGGGTAACCGACAAAGGGCTAAGAGGTGGAGCATGAGCAGAGCTACTTATATCTGCTAGCATTTTGCCTAAACAGGCTTTTCTTTGGGAGAAACACCTAACACTTAATTACCTGCGATTTGTTTCTGTTCTGACCACTTGGCTGTGTACAATATCATTAACATGTTTTGGGCTTTTAAAAACACAGTTGTAATACATCGGGTCACTAAACATTGTTCTTATGACGTTTTTTTTTTTTTTTCTACAGAAAGAAAATGCTAATTACTTCCAAATATTACAAATATAGTCTGTGTTAGTAAAAGCAAGGCTATTTATGAAATCTAGGCATAACACTGCATGGCAACATTTCAGATGACTGTTCTTTAACCTACAGCTAATCAATCTGTCAGAGTCTGGAGTGCATTACAGGTCTAAAAAAAATTATAAATGATAAATTACCTTAAGTAAAACAAATAGGGCCACTTTAAAGGTTTGCGAGCACAATTAAGTGCACAGCATGCCATATCATCTGGTAATTGTAAGAAATAATTCCAAAAGGCAATTGACTGTGTAAAGCTACATAAAACAAAACAAAAAATACAATTTGTATGTCGAGTTCGGCGACCAGCGAGACCTAGCTTTTACTCAAGTTGCCATTCCCTTAATTATGCAGACTTAATATAAACTAAATGGAGAAAAAACTGAGAAAATAATCACCCCCTCACAGTTGTCATGAAGTGTAATATTTGCTATATACACAAAAATCGTTTTTTGTACTAGGCTGTAAATTCTGCTGTAAATTTGGCCATTTTAACATTAGCCGCGTTTCCACTATCGCGCCTAAAGCGAGCGAGCCAGGGCGAGCCAAGGCCAGTGGCGTTTCCACTGTCACTTCCGGGGCCTAATCGGGCCAAAGCGGGGCTTTCTCGGGGCCAACGGCCAGCCTTTTTCGGCCCGCCGAATACCTTGGGCCAAGGAGGGCCAGCCGGGGCTTCGGGGCGGAGTGAAAGGAGAGGCGGACACAGTTTTCCGATCGCACTCGAGTACATGCGCCAAACAAATAAATAAATAAGGGAAAGAAAACATCTGGAACAAATTATAGGCTGGGGTCTTTTTTGCATATGATCGCCCTTAAGTTTATCTTTTAAATGTAAGGCTGTTGCATAAAATGATATTTCTTTGCTGCATCTTTGATGTTTCAATAACGCATAATAATCTTTACACCATATTAAAGACACAGCAGACAGTAAAGGTTTTCAAGAGGTTTTGTCAAGTTTAATACTGTGTGTGTTTTTGCGCGTTTAGATGCCTGTGTATGTGTGTGAGACCGAAAAAAGCGCTCCATTCATAGCTCTGTTGATGCCGCGAGCGGCTTTTTTCTTTTCTTTTTATTGTTTTAATTTATTTTGGAGATAATACACTATATGAATACAACAGTAGGACATTAAACTTTACAAATTTCATGTCCACTTTTGTAGGCTCAAAACAATAGTGTCATATCTAGATAAAATAGCCCTATATTGAAATAATTTAAAGAATTACAAATATTAGATAGGCCTATAATAAAATCACATTAAATAAATAAACCAATATAAAACTAACAAAAGCTATAGCTATAACAATTAGGTAGGCCTACTATATCAAACTGTTTCAAATTTATATTAAACTTTCATTTTTCAAAAGCCTCTGAAAAAAAGATTTTAGATATTTTCTAAAAAATAAAAATAAATAAACACCGGAAAATGTTTTAAATATTATTTATAAAGTATTTGGATACGATGAAATTAATAAAATCATGCAAACAGAGCATTTTCGGGGTGAGTGAAAGCAGAAACTAGGCGACCTTTTTTTCTGTCTGCAGCTGCGCAGCACTTTTTTGACGGGGAAAACTGCAAGTTCAAAATGTGCTCTGTGTCCTCAAACAAGTGTTTTTATATGACGTGGTAAAATTAAAAAAGGACATTTTAAATACATAAAGAGCTTTATTAGTGCATAGCTGCTGAGCGCAACGAAATATAGGCTATATTTTATTACGTGCTGCTCTTATGTGCTGAAACACTGAACACTTTCCTTTACTTAAGATATAATAAGCAACATCTTTAAATAAAGGGAATCACCTATTAAGTGTCATAAAGCCTATAGGGGGAAAATAATCATGTTTCAGTTCTCTCCGGAGCATTTGGGATGAATGTTGGACAGATTCTGTCTAGAGGATGTTATAAAATACATTTTATATCGAGTTATTAACAGAGAATTTTCTATATGTGGTGTTATATTATGGATGTGTGCGCTCCCTGCGCTCCGGGTCCCTCCGTTGGTGGCAAGACCACTGGATTTCGATGCCAGTCGGTCGGCGAGTAAATGAATATGATCAATGAAAACACACAGGCATGTGCGTATAGACATGCGTTGTACTGCTGTACAGTAACGTGTCATTTGTTTCTTTTGGTTGTCCTAATTTTAATAGTTTCGTGATGATGTGATGGTGTGCTTTATCTGCATGATTCTCGCTGAAGTGGGCGGTTTGAGTGACGTTCGATTCGGGGGATGTTCTGGGGGCGGGGTTTGCGTGACGCGCTGCGAGCTACTAGCCCCACAGTAGAAACGCGACATGATTTCGGCCTCACTGCTCAACCTCCCGGGCGATTGGCCCGGCCTGGCCCGATATAAGCCCTGGCTCGCACTGGCCTGATAGTGGAAATGCGGCTATTGAGGGTCAATAGAAATGTGCTCTATTTTAGAGCCAGGCCTAGTGGAAGTTTGATGAATTGCAGTTACAGTTACTTGCGTATTAGCTTCAAAGAGGGAAAGCGGGATGTTGCCGTATTTAACACATACACAAAGTATACAACAAGGTTATTATAGTTAATGAAAAATGAAAACTAACATACAAACAAAAATCATTTTCGTTGACTGAAATAAAAATAAAACAAGTCAAAAAAAAAAAATAGAACTGAAACTGTATTGTACATACAAAACTAACTGAAACGAACTAAAATTATAGCAAGAACGTCCTTTGTTTTCATATTTATGTCTTTTGGAAGTGAATCTATTCGCTTCGCTCTGCCAGGTGTTTGACCTGTACGGCACCTCAAAGTCTTTAATCCTGCTGCGATTGGCCAGATCGAGACGTTTTTTTTCCAGTTATCTTTGCTGTTGCTCTCGCGACAAAAACAACAGCAGCACGGTGATAGTATTAAATACAGAGACTTGAATCAGAGACTTTGAATTTGAGGATGGGCAAATGGTAGTGGTAGATGATGTGGTCAGGTGTTCTCTGAGACAGGAGTTTTTAATTATACAATATTTATTCTGATGATTTTAAAGCTTGCTACTATCAAATATCCTTATTTAGAAAACACTAATACTGAAACCAATAAAAAAATAAATAAATAAAACTAAGCAATTTATATATATATATATATATATATATATATATATATATATATATATACACTAAAAAAAGTTGTAAATCTGCCTCTAAAAACTAATTAAAACTGAATTTAAAAACAAAAAGGCAAAACGAAATAAAAACTAAAACTATGAAAAATCCTAAATTATTACAACCTTGGTACACAATTTAATTGTAAAAAAATGACAAACATTTTCAGACGTTTTTAAAATGGTGATCGATTACATTTTTAAGTAACTATTGACATCTTAATAATAGTTTGCTAAATACTTTCAAACATCTATTTTAAGACGGCACACAGATTTACCGATTGAGTCTACATGACTAAAATGTTCAGATTTCATTAACACCAGCGACACAGAATACTATTTATTCAATCAAGACATAATTTACCACACGCTCCGAAGTAAAAAGGCACCTTCTCTCCCTGCTCCGTTTTTTATTTGTGACCGGGAACGAACCATCCATAAACGCCCCACCTGTGAAGGAGGTTTCATTAGATTATTTATTTGTTTGTCTGTTAGAGGAAATGAGAAGAAATGGAACTGACCTTGCCAGGCAAAATGTTTCTCTTTATAGATAAGGCCGACTGGATGTGCTGTCCCTGGGCTATTGTGTTTAATGAAAATGAAGACCCTCAGTCCCCCCGCAGAGGACTCTGCAGGTGCCAAGCTCTGATCTATTACTCTCAGACACAGAGAAAGAAAATGGCACAGAGAATGAAGCCGACCGCCATTTCTTTCAGGCGCTGCATTAAAAATTTGTCGGCATTTGTTTTGAATTGGCCTATTGGTAAGCTCCGCCCCCCTTAGCTACTGTTGCCACCTCGGTAAACAAGCAAAACTACTAACATTGTTACAGTGACAGCTGTCAATGTGAAAACCTTGACACAAGACATTTTTTAAACATCTTTGGAGCTTTAGGAATGCATTATTTGTGTAAAGTATTTTTTCAGGAATACACTTTGTGTAAAAGTTAGTTTAAAGACACTTTTTTTCTAAAGTTGGTTTCAAACTCTTTGTATGAAATTTGATTTGTATATAACTGTTTTGTTCCCATAACTCCAATGCTATGTGACATTGACACAATTGGCGATACCTCCAGTTGTGTCAATGACACATAGCACAGACATCCCAAGTTAAGAATAGTTATTCCCGGAGGAGACTGAAATGATTTGCGAGAAGTCGTGGGAGTTAAGCGTCGTGACTGGGTTTGACAGGGTGCGCGCGTTGTGTCTGAAGAGCAAGGAGGGATGCGGTGGGGAGGGGTGAGAAGGGTGCGCGATGTATTGGAGGACCGGGAGGGAGACGCGCGATTTCTGGGAGAATATTACTTGTTTGCGGGCATCTGGGAGTCTTTATACATTTGCGGGAGACTCCCGGAACTTCTGGGAGACTTGAGATGTCTGCATAGCATTTCTGTTCCACCCCTCGGGGAATGAGGGTTACGTACATAACCGTTTTGTTTCAGGTGGTCAATTTTAAATGTACATTTTGTTTCAGGAACACACTTTTTGCGTAAAATTTGTTTTAGGAATATAATTTTACGAAAAGTTAGCTTCAGAGAGACCATCTAAAATTGGTTTCAAACTTTTTAAGTAAAACTTGTTTCAGACGTACAATTTTAATGTAAATATGGTTTAAGGAATACACATTTGCATAAATTTTGTTTCAGGAATACATCTTTGGGTAAAGTTAGCTTTAGAGATGCTTTATCTATAGTTGGTTTTTTAAACTTTTTGTGTATAGTTAGCTTGTTTCAGACGTACAATTTTTATGTAAAGTTTGTTTCAGGAAAACATTTTTGCATAAAATTTAATTCAGGAATACATTTGCGTAAAGTTAGCTTCAGAGACATTATCTAAAGTTGGTTTCAATTATTTTACATACAGTTTGTTTCAGTCGTACAATTTTTTTTATGTAAAGTTTGTTTCAGGAATACATTTTTGCGTAATATTTGTTTTAGATATTTTTTTTTAGTGTGAAATTTGTTTCAGGAATACACTTTTGTGTAACTTTAGCTTCAAAGATACTTTTTCTAAAGTTGATTTCAAACTATTTATGTAAAGTTTATTTCGTACGTAACCGTTACGTTCCCCTGAGGGAGGGAACTCTAACGCTATGCGTCATTGACTCATTGATACCTCAAATTCTGTCAATGACACATACAGTAGCATTGGAGTTCCCCCCTCGGGGAACGAGGGTTACGTACATAACTGTTTCGTTTCTGGTGGTCAATTTTTAATGTAAAGTTTGTTTTAGGAACACGCTTTTGCGTAAAATTTGATTTAGGAATACAAATCTACATACAGTTAGCTTCAGAAAAACTAAATCTAAAATTTGTTTCAAACCTTTTTACATAAAATTTGGTTCAGACATACAATTTTTGAATGTAAAGTTTGTTTCAGGACTATGCTTTTGCGTAAATTTGTTTCAGTAATATATTTTTGTATAAAGTTAGCTTCAGAGATGCATTATCTAAAGTTGGCTTCAAACTTTTTGTGTAAGATTTGTTTTAGACATACACTTTTTCATGTAAAGTTTGTTTCAGGAATACACTTCTGCGTAAAGTTAGCTTCAGAGATGATTTTCTAAAAATGCTTTTAAACCTTTAGCGAAAAATTTGTTTCAGACAAAATTTGCATAGTTTGTTTCAGATATATCAGCTTAATTCAACAAGCAAACGTAACTGTTTAACGTTTTGCAAATTTAGTGGCTAATTTAAAGTCATATAAATTCAGTCAAACAAAAATGTTTTTAAAAGGAGGCAAAAAGGAGGCACCAAACTCCACCCTTAAACACAACCGTCATTGGGGGATGAGCAAATCATACTAGATTGAGATCATGCAAATTAGATACAAAAAAATTGAGATGCACCCTATGACAAAGTCCCTTCAAGGCAAGTAATTTCACTAAACGACCATCTTTGAAACACCTCATGAGCAATATGCCCAGGCATTCTGTTTGACTGGGGAAACATCAAATTGGCCAAAACTGCTTTCGAAGCTTACGATTCAATTTTATATTAGGAATCATTATTAAAATTAAACAATGACTCTCTCTTAAATTCATTTTTTAAACATTTGAATCGCACAAATTCTGCAGAAACTCACATCTGGTCCAAGCCCCTCCCCCGGATATCATCCATCTATATCGAACGATGATTGGCTGCTGTGCTAGGTGCGGCTTCATTCACCATATTGACCGTACTTTTCCTCATTCAAAACTACACGAGTGACATGTCTTGTGTATTCTATAGTCTTTGCTGTGAGCAGCTCAAATCAAATAGACAAACACCATATCACCATAGCTACTTCATAGCAACAGATTAGCAGCCAGCCAATTGTATAGTGAAGAGCTTTGCACAGCCTTGTATCACTCGCATTTGCTTGAGGAAATGTAATTTATCAAAGTATTATAAGTATTGATATTAAGTGTATATTTTTTCTGATTAGCTCTGCAGCCCTTATGGAGTTTCTAGAGGATCTCCAGTGCTTGGGAACTTGACTTCACAGTGAAAAAGAAGGAGAATAATGGCTGTGTGTGAGAGAGAGAGAGGGGAAGTGTGAGGGTATTGCATTATAGCATTATCTACTTGGGCGGGAAAAAACCTTCTGGAAGAGATTTATGCCCTCCTCATAAAGTGCTGGGGCCAAACAAACTGCACACTTTGTTCTTCGGTTGGAATATCTAGCTAGTTCCATGAGGAAAAAAAGCTGCTCTAATGCAATATAAGATCAGTTTCTTCAGATTCACTCTCATGCTTCTCACACCAGATGCTATTCGCATGTAAATAGATCTGTCTATCTATCTATCTATCTATCTATCTATCTATCTATCTATCTATCTATCTATCTATCTATCTATCTATCTATCTATCTATCTATCTATCTATCTATCTATCTATCTATCTATCTATCTATCTATCTATCTAAATACTTCAAACCTTAAGCTTTTACAGCTACTTTCATAAACATTAAAGTTTGTCTTCAAACTTTACCATCAATGTTTTCTACATATTTTTTAAAAGCTTAAATATGGTCACATTTGATTTGCACATACTGTACAAGCTGCACAGCTCAATAAGCCAGCGATTTATCCACAGTTCAGCTTATTTTTGTTCTAAAGTGGAAGGTTTTGACGTTTTAAGCCAAATGCTATAAATGCTAGTTCCTAATATTTGCTAATCATGCCAGTCAAAATTAAGTGTTTTGATTAATTGAGCTGTCGTATTGGATATGCGAGATCAGGTTCTTCACAATATGGTTTTGCAAATACAATGCAATACAAGTACTGACAATGGGAAGCATTCTTCAGCCATTATTCCTGGAAATGTTCACGCAGAGCCCAGAGACATCCAGAAACGTCTCTACAAATATTGGCTTTACAGATTCTGCTGCTGAGGTTTCATTTATGAAGCACGAACTCTGTGAAGCGCATGGAGATTTCGAGTGAGATGTTGCAGAATAATGTAGACCAACAACAGATATATGGAGGAAAAACACATATTTCACAAGTACTGCTGACACTGGATTTATTTTAGCAATAATGGGACTCTTTTTCATTGTACTTTTTTTCAGCGTAAGGAACTTTAAGGAACCTGCATAAAATAGCTGAATGAATGGATTACTCTGTTCTCTCAAACAGAAAACAAATCTTGTGGATTTCAGATATGGATTCAGGTGGTGTTGTGCCATCCTTGTTTTTCTTTAAATAATATAAACATATCGACTGAGAAAGTCGTTACTTATTATTATTTTTCTATCTCAAAATTAGCGACTTATTTTATACACAAACTTTTTTTTGGTTCTTTTGAGATAAGCTGTGCAAACCATGTCAGGTTAGTCAATCAGAGGTCATTTACATTATGAAGTATTAAAAGTGCAGTTGTTTTTTGTTTCTTTTAGTTTTACTAGTTAATGCCTTTTTTAATAATGCTTTTAACATAAATTTAATATTGACTTCATGTATTTATAGGTTTCATAATTACTTTACATCATTAAAAAAAAATATATATATATATATATATGCAAGTATTTACACTTAAAACAAACATGTCACACAAATTCCTAAAAAACAAAATAACAAATGAATGGACCAGGGGGGACCGAGTCGGAGCACTCCAGAGACCCAGCTGACAGATAACTGTATAACTGTAAAACAGGATGATAAAGTGAAAACCACGGAGTCACGTCTGCTTCTTTGCAGCTCCACTGGCTTTCTGCACATTTATCGTACAGCATCAGAAAATAAAAAGACATTTGCTTTTAAATCTTTCACAATTGACAATATACTGTCTGTCTCTCACATTTTGTCACTTTAGAACAGATAAAACCAATAATAGTGGATTTAGTGTCCACAACATCAAAAATCAATCACTCGGTCTCATCTTCTCATTTTTCTCCTTTTAGTTGTTCTTAATATACTCAATAAACATCTTAATCAATATTAACAATTATTAATTACAAATATATTATTTGTAGATGTACATATAAAGCTGTAAAACTAGTATAAACTCAGCAATACTCATATTCTTAGTAAATGTGAACTTAACTACACCATTTTCTCTCATATGGAGGCATTTTCAGAGAAACCCTATAGCTGCAGCAGCTCTCTGTGCTTCTCTTGAGTGGGTGGTCACCTGACCCTTAGGCGCGCCAAACGCGAGTGCTGAGTGAGCCTCACGGAGCCTTTTAACTGTAATAAATTAACTCTTTACATGTCTTAACAGGTAGCTTTGCCTCAAAACAAATAACACAATAACATCGACTACAATACTGATCACTGAAGCACACTTAACAACTTATTTTTTTACATTAGTCCAAACATAACATATAATCGGCACTCAAAAATACTCTTAAATCACCTCATACACTTGTACATATTCCACACATCAAAATAATACACAATCACTGTAATAGTATGTTTAGTTTGTCCATATTTACCTGTAAAACAGGTTAATAAAGTGAAAACCACGGAGTCACGTCTGCTCCTTTGCAGCTCCTCTGGCGACCTGAGTGAGCGCGCAGTTCGCCGTGGTAGATTCCCTGGATTGAGTGTCAAAATAAAAGTCCTCTCCATGAAAACGCAAATGTCCACTGTTTTGCAAACAAATACTGCACGAACATATCTTACAACTATTAAACCTAAATAAACAAATGTAAACAACACAATTGTATATACACTTTGTGTGTATCACACACTCACTCTGGTCCCCCGGGCTCTGCGCTGGTTTGGAAATTCCTAATTGAACCAAAACAAACAAGATTGGCAACCAAAATTCGGGACATTGCAACCTGCAGAACCTGGAAAATAAAAAGTAACACAAATTTGTTATTCTGAAACAAATGTATGCAAGTCAGAAATAGGGATGGGTACCGGAACTAAAGTACCGAAAGTATCAATAATCGTTGACATTAGCGGTTCAGCAGTGCTGGAGAAATATTGTTGAATAAACATAACCTACAGTAGCATAATTGAACTGAACAACATTTTCCAATTTGTGAGATTTGATATTCGTCTGCACTGTTGGCAATCTTATGTGAAAAATGTGATCTTGTTCCACTGGCGAGCGTTTCAAGTGTAAAAGCCATCACTTTTCTCGGCTGTGCGCACGCACTCAGGAGGCTCACGCTGCGGACACTAGCCATTCGAGACTGGCGCAAACACAAGCTTGCGCCTATAAAGTGATGAGGCAGAGAGAACCAATCGGTCAAGAGCATAGTTGTACTTCCAGAGTGGACATAAGCACAACTAGTTTCAACAAATGCAACAAGTTGTTTTCTTGAGAGTCATTTGCAGCCTACTTGCATAATCCAGTTGTGTTCCTTCAAAGCATTGTACTATATTTTAATTTAAAAAAATAAAAATAAAAAGTTTTTAATTCTGTTGAATTTGTTATTTTTCTATTAAAAAAACACTACAAAAAATATAGATAAGTACTGTTAATATCCAAAATATCCTATTGTGGTCTTTTGAGTTACAGAAGGCTAGCATCCTTACTTTATTGCATCAAATATTGTCCAATGAAAGCTAGCTAATATTGAATTGCTACATATTATTGCTGTCGTTTTCATAAAAAGGGCAAAGTTAACATTCGAAAAAAGTTTGCTTTCTAACTGGTTCAGTTAGACATGCTGTAAAGCATAACCAAGTGTATTTACTTGAGATAGATACACCACAACGATGGCTGTTTTAATAACAGCTTGTGTAGGCTATTTGATTTGTTCACACAGTCTCGGTTATATTGTGTGATGGGATTGTGCAGGCGCACGTCAGTTTGAGTCCAGCTGTAACTGCCACGCAGCCGAGACAGTGCTTCAATTATTAGTCCATGTGGTATGATTCCACCTATACTAGCTTCTGTTACTCAAGTACAAGTGTATCAATGATGAAGACTGTTTGAACTTTATTTTTTGTTCTACAATGAGCTTTGTTGTGATGAAATAAGGGACTGTTCTGGGAAAATTGGGACATCTGATCACCCTTAAGCCTGGTTTATACTTCTGCGTCAAGTGACCAGCGTAACCCACGGCGCATGCAACGCATGCATGAAACGCTAGTTGGCAGTGAGGTGTAAATGTTCCTCTGTGTCGAGATTCTTCGCTGGTGTTTTGCTTTTCCTAGACACTTCATGAATGTACAAGTTGCTCAAACTCGCTCATTTTGAGGCAGGGACCGGCGGACGTGCAACAACTTTAACTATGAGGTAAACACAAAACAAAACTTTTCATCCAAAGCTCCTTCGCAGGACGCCACACTTGTAAACAATCGCTTCATCGGGGTCGTGCCATTCACGCGACTCTCGGTCCCGTCCAGACTCGTCAGCTCTACCAGGCTGACCAATCACAGAGCTTGCGCTACGTGTCGTTGCGATGTGTAGTTACATTTTTTGAGAGGTGCACGTCAGCGAAGCCAACGACCACGGCAAAGAGCTATGCGTCAACGCTGTAGCACACGCGTGCGTTTGACGCAGAAGTATAAATCAGCCTTATGGGTGACTAAAACAGGGCTATTCAATATTCTGATTGGGCTACAGCCACTCTGAGCCCAAGTTTAGCACCGGTGTCACTGTTTTTGAACAGCAGCGAACCGAAGGAAATACTTCATATTATCAATGAGAGAAAGCAGAACGCAAAAAGGTGTTTCCCGCATCATATCGCAAATGAATTCTTCAGCTGATCAAGGGCCCCTTTCTTCCGTGTGCCTAGGGGCTTCTGCCTCACCTAGCTCTTACATTATTCCAGCCCTGTATGTGTATATGTTTTATTATATCTGTACTCTTAAAACAAAATGCACATAAACTTCTATGTGAAGGTGCTTTGACACAATCTACATTGTAAAAGCGATATAGAAATAAAAATGAATTGAACTGAATAAAGTATTTGCTGTATGTATAGAAACAAAAATTGTGAAACAAACTTTACACAAGTGTACATCTAAACAATCTTACACCAACAAAACATTCCTGGCATAAATTTTACACAAGTGTGTTCATAAAACACACATTATGCAGGTGTAATTCAGTAATAACTGGACGCAAGAAAGAAATTTGATGCAACATCATGCTTAAACTTTAGTTGAACAAGTCAAAAGTTCATGTATGATGAACTACTTTCAAGTCATCAGCCAATAAATTTCCGTATTTACAGTAGAGTATGTAAAGCAGCATGTCTCACTCTATGAACAGTTTTCTAGCCCTCAGCCATGTGGTCCTGCACCCTTTCGTCATCTTCAGTTTCTCCGTTTTCAGAGTCGGGTTGATTATCAGCCAGCATCAGCGGCCGTGTATGTGTGGATCTTTTCTTGTTGTTTTCAGATCAATACAATTGCAACCTAAGCATTATGGGCCGGTTTCATTCAGGCACGTCAGCTTGTGGCTCTGCCCTGGCTGGGACCTTGGATAATGAATCCGTGCTGGTGAAATTCAATCCAAGACGAAGATTAATGTAAGTGGCTGATGCCGGAACATTTCATTTAGAGCGATGCAAGTAAGACTGAACGTCAGGAAGCACAATTGACCTATCGGTAAGCTCCTCCCCTCAAACACAAAGGAGCCAATGGCGGTTGAGTATCAGTTGCTTAGGGAACAAAACTCAGATATTTTAAGGTTTTGGCGCCATAGAGAAACATCAGAAGATTTAGGATTGACATGTTTTTGCTACCAAAACAGTAAAACTGCCTAGAGTTCGTTAAACAACGATTATCAAAATTTTGGTCACAAAGCCATCAAGTACAGAAACTGTCGTGAGCACCATGATTTTCTAAAATACATTTTCGGAAAAAAGTTTCATATGTACATTTTTTTGGAAATCTTTGTTTCAGGAATGCACTTTTGCGAGAAGTTAATTTCAGATGTACAATTTTCACGTAAAATTTATTTCAGACAATTTTCTGTGAAGTTAATTTTAGATGTACAGTTTTTACAAAAAGATTGTTTAGATTGTTTCAGGAATGCGCTTTTGCATAAAGCTTGTTTCAGACATACAGTTTTTACTAGTACTATCAACTGAGTGAAAAAAATAACAAAATTAAAATTTTTTTGCAATTAATCGCAATTAAAAGATGTAGTTTTTATATAAAGTTTGCTTCAATAACACGCTTTTTTCATCCCCCTAGTTTCTCTTGCCAACAAACAGGGTTGCCAGCAGTCTTACAATGATGCCCAGCATTGACACTGTTCAGATTAAATTAGTAAACATTTAACAATTAATTACATTAATTAACATTTAACCCAAGATGCTGTTGACAATCAGCTTTAGCAGACACTTGTGTCTACTACCAAATCTTAGTGCTGCTTAGCTACTTTGATTAAATCAGGATATGCTTAGTTTACACTGCTCAGTTTTCAAAGTCATTAGATTGAAGTTATTTTCAATTTGCAGGACTTCATAGGGTATAGCATTCAGTTGGTCCAGTGTTCACATTGCATGATGAATCTGCACTAGGGTGGTACATAAACTTTAAAATAAAAAGAATCATAAAAACGACTTTGTTTGAGTTTATGCAATGGAATAAACTAAACTCAAACCATTTGTTAAGTCATGACGTATAGAATACTGATTCCTGATCCAAGTTGCCACTCGTTTGAATTGAGAAAATTTTAAGTTTATAACCGCTTTTCATGATGCGAATCTGGGTCTATTGTCAAGTGAATTTGAAGCACGAATAAAGCGAATTTGACGCGCAAATGAAGCAAGTAAACTCAAAATATTAATGCGATTTCTCCGCACTTGTCTTGCTAAAATCAATTGGGACACCCTGACCCCTTCATGTGAACACCAAAACTAGGGGTAAGGGGAAGAGCTAAGAGGTAGAATTGGGAATGGCTTGGGTCTTTCACTCTGGATTCGCACACTACTACTACTAATGGTGGATACTCAATATAGTCCACTATATAGTGGATAGGGAGACATTTTGGATGCAGCTTACGTCTAGTTTGTAAAATATTGCTTATATCAACATTACATAACTGTTAACGTAAAACAATGTAAACAAAGTGATAAAACATTTAAAAATTAAGTTGTTTATAAAGAACTTTTTTCTAGAATTTGAAAGGGGAAAGAAAAAAAATCATAATACATGCAAACTTCAAGTTAAATGCAAGAAAGTAGAACTTAATATCAAAGAATTTGTTGACATTTTTGAGAGTCGAGAAACTTTTGAAACCAATTCAAATTCCCATTAGCAACCTAAAAAGTAGCCAATTCGACAATGTTTTTCTTTAGCCATGTTGGTTTCTATGGGGTCACAAAGGATTTTGGTGTATTTGTAATAAGAACCCGCTCTCGACCCGCTATAATATTAGTCTCTCTAGAAACAGATTGAGTTTCTCTGTCAGTCTACACGAATTCTACGCTTTTGTTGAGTGTTAGATTTTATTATAAGAATCTCGAGTCTCAAATTACTCGAGAATTGCTATAAAGCCATCTGTCAGTTGGCAGGAGGTCTGCACCATACTGGGCGATCATACACCTTTCACAAAAACACAGTGCCACTCTCACTCAAATCTAAATCTAAAGCGAGAGAGGGAAAAAAACCATGCTTTAAAACGGAGTTTATCTACAGTGAACACAGATCTGTGGACTGACACGTCTAACAAGGCTTTGGAAATGCTGAGCACATGAGAGTTTATCATCTTCTGCCACGTAAGCGCAGAATAACTGCCCCAATTATCCCCATGTTATTCATTTACACTACATAACTGCAGTGCGACGGCCTCCCGGCTACGTTCTGCATGTTTAAAGGATGAATTTGAATTTTAGTTATCTTTTTTTCCTCTGTATTCGGTTTGCCGAGGGGTGCAGATGGCCTCCGCTATGCCTCCTGCTAGGTGCATAATGTAGCTTATTTTGTGTTTTTTCCACCACTGTGAGGACGAAATAAACAATGGATGAAAAAAAAAGGTGTGTAATTAGTTTTATTTACACTGTCTGATGGATGCATCTGAAACTCCCAAGACCCCAGGGTCTCGTCAACCTGCCTTAAGTTGATTAAACTGTCTTGTTAATTGATTAATTGAAGTTCTTCGATTAGATGTCTACTTCTTTGGATTGAGGTGGAGAATAGATAGGTTGATTTAAGCGTGACGGCTTTCGCTTTACTGTAGATGTCGTTCAACATACCTGACCATTATCCCTAATAAAGCCCAGAAAAACAGGGCATCAGAATACAGTAAACCTATAGTTTTAAATATTTATTTTCAGTTATCAAAGAAATAATTTGTTCCTTAATTATAATTTTGTAAGTATTAAAATGTTTTAAATTCAAAACTAACTATATACATAAGTGTAAAACTGAATGGTGGAAAAACATATTTCTGCAATTGTGTACCTGGCTGTCCACTTTTGCCATGGACTCTTTTGGCTTTAACATACTTATCCCTCAGGTTTTTCCAAACCTTTTAACAAAAAATTTCCTCCTTTGCCACAGCTGTTGCAATTTCTAACCAAGAATTATTGATCATCTGGTTATCTCTATGATTACGGATCATAAAGATGTCTGTACAGTCATACTGTTTCAGACAAAATCTCTTCAAAGTGTTTCATATTTAAATAATCAAACACGTCGCCGCGAGCAAAGAAAAAAAAAAAAAAACATGCGCTCTGCCAGCCGAAATCTTGTCGCGCGCACCCAAACTGAACATTCGCGAACTCCATGATGATGTCACATTTGCAGCGTGCACTCAGGCAAACTAGCGGACACATCAAGTATAAACCAGGCTTAAACCGGAAGAACGGATTTGCTCTGAACAATGAAAAAACAACTAATTTTCACTTTTTAGTGAAATACATGTGTCCTAAAAGTGTTTTTAGCAGCGTGACCCTTTAAAGAAAATTTCACACAACAATTTAAATGTTCTCATTTTGTTTTGGAAGTTTGTGTAAATTTTTAATTCAAAACATGGTAAAAAATAATACAATAGCATTATATATGCATTGTAGGATTAATGCAAAATTATTTGTGCATTTCATATACTATATAATATTGTGATGAAAAAAATTACGATAAAAATACTGAACATTCAAAATAAACCATATGTGGTTTGAAGAATGTTGAAGTTGATATTTTTCCTTGTCATGAGGTTTGTTAGGCTCCAAAATGAACAGCATCGGACTGGAATTCCATTTT